TCATCTCGATAGCATGTATAGTGAGAATATTAGGGCATCAAGCTACGCTGCTACAAAAGAGTTGATCACGGCGAGACTGCGCGAAGGGACTTTGGTCCACGAGCACTGTCTCAAAATGATCACTCTCCTTGAAAAGCTAGTGAATCTCGATGTCACCCTCCCGGCCGAGCTCGTTGGATTTGATCCTGTTATCTCTTCCTAGTTCCTATGAATCGTTCATAGTGAACTTCAACATGAACAAACTAGATCCTCCCTTGGATGAGTTAATGAACATGTTGGTCAGTTTCGAGTCCACCATTAAGAATGAGAAGTCTGTTCTCGTTGATGCTACTTCTGGAAAGAAGAGTTTTTCCCAAAAGAAGAGAAAGGAAAGAGTTCCCTTTCCGAACAACAAGTTCGAAGTGGGTGAAGGTAGTGGGGGCCCCAAGGTAAAGGTCAACAAGCAAGTTGATGATGCTTGCCATCATTGTGGAAAGAAAGGACATTGGCGCCGCAACTGCAAGGCTTACGTAAAGCAGAAAAGTTCTGAAAAGGGTATGTATTTCATTGACGTAAATTTTTCTGTCAATTCTTCTTCTTTGGTATTGGATACGGGCTATGGCTCACACTTATGTAATGATTTGCAGCTCGTGACAAGAAGTAGAAAGCTTAGAGCGGGTGAGACCTACCTAAGGATGGGGAATGGAGCAAGAGTTGTTGCTGAAGCCATTGGCACGATTTACTTAAATGTTTTGGATTCTAGTTTTCCTATTGTTTTGAACAATTGTTTATTTGTTCCGTCTCTCATTAGAAACCTTATTTCTATTCATGTATTAGATATTGAAGCTTTTACTTTTGTTTTTGGAAATTCGATTCGCATTATACAAAAGAATGAAAATTTGATTTGCATGGGACAACTATTAAACAACTTGTATCAACTAAATCCAAATGAAATACCTATTAATGTTATATCAGCAAAACATAAGGAGATAGATCAAAACCCCGCACAACTTTGGCACGCTAGATTAGGTCATGTCTCTTTAAGAAGGATGAACGATTTTGTTAGTGAAGGATTGTTCTCTTTAGAGGACGTGAAATCACTATAAACTTGTGAATCCTGCCTTAAAGGGAAAATGACCAAGTCACCCTACAAAGGGAAAATGGAGCGGGCCGAAGGTCTTTTGGATTTTATCCATACAGACGTATGTGGTGCACTAAGTGTTAGTGCGAAGGGTGGATACAACTACTTCGCTACCTTTACCGACGATTACTCTATGTATGGGTGTGTGTATACTTGATGAAGTACAAGTCCGAAACATTTGAAAAGTTGAAAGAGTTAAGACACGATGTAGAAAAGCAACTTGGGCGAAGTATTAAGAAACTGCGATCCGATCGTGGTAGAGAATACTTGAGCATCGAGTTCATTGACTATCTAAAAGGAAATGGAATACAATCTCAATGGACTCCCCTGGAACTCCTGAACTTAATGGAGTTTCCGAACGTCGGAATAGAACTTTATTAGATATGGTTCGATCAATGATGGGGTTCACGAACTTTATCAGAAGTCGAAGCATATTCTGAGGAAGTATCATGTGATCCGAGAGATCATTGATAGAGGTGAAGTTAAAGTAGAACGAGTCACCTAGGAAGAGAACGTTGCAGACCCCTTCACGAAGCCTTTACCGAGATCGGTCCACGAGAAACATCGAGAGTTGATGGGATTGCAATTCATGGGTAGTTGGCTTTAGGTCAAGTGGGAGATTGTTAGAGTAGGTGACCAACAAGCCAACTTGTGGTTGTGGTATTTCATATTTATTATGGTAATAAACGAACCTTTTTCATATTAATGATAAAACACCGTGGCATTCTATATCTTTGTCCCTTTGTCACAAGCATAGATATAGTCCTTACAGTTATTACAAGTAATAGTAATTGATCGTTAGGATCGTGAGATATTTACTTAAGTATTATAACTGTTATACGTGTTCCTAGTCGAAGGGTTACGCCACCAATGAGGATATCGGCCTTTCCCTTTAAGAGACTAGCACTTAGTGTATGTGTACTGCATCTCATCAGTAAACGGTATTGTGATATCGGCATGGATAAGTGGGTGCTCGTAAGTTGACGAGTTCACTGAACTCCCTCACCCTAGAAATCTCTAAGTGGTTCTCAATAATGGAGTAGAGATATCTATGGTATAGTTGTACACCATTAGTCCTTATAACCTAGACATCACCGTGACTTCACTAGAGGACCAGCTGTATCGTGACCTGTCCCTGAGTTCCACCGAGGACCACCCCAAGGGCCAGTGTTCGTGCAGTTCGAAATCTAGTGGGAGGTCTGTGCATTGTAGTCGCGGATTCGATCGCTAGAATAGTCTTGGATGTCCTGTGTGTTCTCATAGTTTGTAATCTCTCTAAGTCTCTGGCCAGAGCTGACTAAGTGATGATTAGAGAATTCGATTCTCTAAGTCATGCATGTAACGATTACAACACTTAGAACGATCTCACAGTCATTGAACTAATAAGGAGGTCTCGATGAACCAATGCCTCTAGTTCAATCGGGACATATGAATCGAAGGGATCGTACTGTACGCTAACTATATCAAAAGGTTCTTGCAAGCACTTCATTTGTATCTAGGGAATCATGACGCGTAGTTGCTAGACGCCAATCTTGATTCGTTGGGTGATTAAGGTAAAACGAGCTTCATCTTAATCGTAACTCTAAGGGACGAGTTTCGACCACAAAGGGTTGTGGGCCCACGACTAGCTTACACCTGAACCATTGAGGGTCACACTGCTCGTGCACATGAGATCTTTGGATGAACGGTCAAAGGTAAAAACGTTTTATCTTTGCATGATTGGAAGTCAATATGATTGGGTCCAACATTCGTACTTTGGAATTATGAATGAGAATAAGAAAAGGAAAAGCAGAGGCAAACGTCTTAGTGGACTTTCTAAATCGGGAAGTTTCCAAATTTAGAAAGTGCAATGAATTAGGGTTTCCACTTTTAGAAAGTTGGAAATTGAGAATTGGCACTCGTAATTGTTACAATTTTCAAAAATGATTCCAAAAATGTAATTGTTACAATTTTCCGATCATTGAATTGAGAGAGGGACAAGCGAGTAAAAGAACTAACGAACTTAAGTTGTTGGGCCCGGTCCAACTTAAGCCCGTTAGGGTTTTATACAAGACACTATAAATACTCGATTTATAGGTCTTGCACAACACACAACTCAAAACAAAACCTAGTTTCTCATCACCTCTCTCGGCCGATCTCAATCCGTGCCCACCACCGCCGCTGTCGCCACCATCTCGCCGGAATCGGCCATCCCTTGGCCGATCCAAATTGGTAGTTCTTTTCTCTTTTCGTTTCTTCCGTTTTATTCTTACTACTTCGTGTCTAGTGCCACGTTTTAGTAGATCGAAGTATACGAGGTGATATCAGAGAGGAGGAAGGATCGATGGAGATTCCTTGTTCTGAAACAATGTGACCAAGGAAAGCCACACTCGATAGCCAGAATTCGCATTTGCTGAACTTGGCATATAGTTGATGTGATCGGAGAGTTTGGAGTATGGTGGGAAGGTGAGACATATGCTCTTCTTGGGTTTTGGAGTAGATGAGAATGTCGTCGATGAAGACAATTACAAACTAGTCCAAATATTGGTGAAAGACTCGGTTCATCAGGTCCATGAAAGCTGCGGGTGCGTTGGTTAGACCGAAGGGCATGACAACGAATTCATAATGGCCATATTGGGTTCTGAAAGCCGTTTTGGTGATATCGGATTCTTTGATCTTGAGTTGGTGATATCGGATTCTTTGATCTTTGTCTACGAGTTGGCGGAAAGTCGAGGCGTCGGACATACGAATGTCTCTACGTATTTCGGGTTGGAGGCCGCGGATAAAATGGTTCTTATTTTCTTCGACGTCTCGAGCGATGAATGGGGCGTAGAGGCAGCCACGTTCGAAACGGCGGAAGTATTCGATCATTGGTAAGTCGCCTTGGCGGAGTTCGAGGAATTCTTTGAGTTTGTGGGCTCGCACGTCTTTCGAGAAATATTTTTCGAAGAATTGGACTTTGAAATCGTTCCATGGCAGAGTCTCGAGGTTCGTTCCTTCTTTGATTCCTTCGCACCAGTGACGAGCTTTGTTTCGGAGTAGGAATATGGCACAATGTACGCGGTCGCGGTCGGTCATTTGCATATAGTCGTATATGACTCCGAAAGATTTGATCCATTCTTCGGCTATGGCGGGGTCGGTTCCACCGTGTAATTCGGACGGGTTCATTCGGAGGAATCGCTCGTATATAGCTTGAGGTGCGTTATTCTGGGGCGGGGTTTGGTTACGTTGGAGGAGTTGTTCGATTTGACGTTGGTGTTTTTGGGCTTGTTCACGGATTAAGTTGGAGAGATTATCGATAGTTTGATTGTGGTCTTGTGGTGCCTCGGAAAGAGTGCTCGGGTTTCCTCGGGTTATACGTCTCGCCATTATCTCTATATATTAATTCATAACTAATAAATAAAACAAGTAAAACACATAAAGAAAATAATGCACATACTTTACCGGATGGTCCGAGCTTCGCGTCTTGAGTACTCTAAACCCGTGAAGCTTGTACGAGTATCTATGAACCATGCTCTGATACCACTCTTGTAGCACCTCCCTTCTAGTCGGGCGATAAATCGAACCAGTTTATCGGAATATTCATTAAACTAGCGGAAGCAAAGGATCTCCTTGTAATTTTTGAAACTTTGAAATGGGTCCAAAATGCAATTATTAAAACTTTGCGGTTTTCGAAATCTTTCTTTAGGTTACTTTAGCCGAATAAAGGTTTCGTTTGGAAATAAGTCTCGAGGGGAGGGTTTTTTTTTTTTTTTTCGTTCGAGTGCTACACTATCACTATCGGTTTTCAGTTCGAGAAGAAATCAGAGTTTGGAAAGGTTATTTTTGGTGAATAATTCGAAATTACTAGTGGAGGCATGAAAAATAGCAAAATTTACGAAATGGACTATTTTATAATAGGATGGATTACGAGTTTAAAAGGTACGAAAAGAAATAGTTAGGTTTAATATTACATCACCAAAAGAAAATAACCAAAAGACTTTAGCATCGTTCATAGGTCCTCGTACAACTTCCAACAAACACCCGGGCAAGACCTCGATCCGCTACTCGATCCATCCCGGTTGAGGGTTACTAGCACTACTACCTGCAATTAAAAGGCATCTATATGAGCTATAGCTCAGTAAGAAATCCGATGAAATATCGAAGTTTGAAATACGTTATACATAATATATAATATTATATACCCATTTTTACCCACATTCCAACAACACAAACCAATCGGTACAATCACATAATTCACGGAAACACGTCGTTCGCACATAATCACGTACTCATGCAAAATGACTAAAATGCCCTTTTTATGAAAATCGTGAAAAACACATTTTTCGTTTTACCGGATCCGTGAAAGATTAATTTCTGTACGTGGATAATAAACCTGTTACGAGCCCGTTTTCACTAAGTGGAATCAAACCACAACACATCGTCCAAGTTGGATACCGACCCTCTATATCCGAGTTGTTTATACCCGGTATTCCATTAATCTTTCAATTTAAAAACCATTAAATGCAACTTTTCGAAATCATGCTTATGACCCACACATAACATCACAAATATCAATCAAGTGCCACAAAATCACATAAATATCACAATTTACCACATATTTATACCTTTGGGCAAAATTCCCCAAATTCTCACATATAAACACACAACCACACACGGCACACACCACATGCACATTCAACACACACATACTCACACACATTCGGCACACACACATGCAGCCAACACATTAAACATCACCATTTAATATTAAACCATGCTTGTAAAGCAAGCACCCCTTTTTTACCTTTCATTTAATGAATTAATTACCACTTCTAGGTAATAATTCATTCAAATAAATTCCAGCAGTAATAAACACATCCATGCAGCCATTTGAGGTATTAAATCTCAAATCTCATCATTCATAGTTATTTAATTAAACACATGAAAGTAAAGGCACAAACATAATAAATGACATGCAAAATGTCCTAATTTCGAAATAATAGCAAACTAATTCCAAAAATTCCCAAATTAAATCCTAGAATTCCTAACTGACCCAAATTTCAGTTTCTGAAATTATTTTAAATTTTCACAAAGTTTCGAATTTTCTTGAAATTAAAAACTAGAAAATTCCTTTTTCTTTTAAAAATCAAAACCTCTAATATAACCTTAATTACTTTGAAAACCTTTGTAAAGCAAACCTTTTCCTATTTAATACTTGCTGGAAAAACAGATTCAAACTTAATAAATTAGATATTTTTCGGAAATTGCAGTTTTGACCCCAAAGTTTCATGATTTACACATGCAACCAAACTAGAAGTTCAAAATCCACTTTTTCATGAAAAACCCCTAACAATCTGAAATTTTACTTTAATAAATGCAGAAAACAAAGTTAAAAAGTTACTTTATGCAGAATATAATTACTTTGTGCTTAGAATTAAATATTATCCTATTGTAGTAGAATATAATTACATGGAGTTTGTCCAAAAGAAATTATTCCAACCAAAATTGGGCAAATGAACAGTATTTAAAAACTAAAACCAACAGAATGAGAAGGGTGTTTTCGACATTTTCACAGTGAAACTTCTTACATCATCCATACAAGATAGAGGATTCTCCATCCAGTTATTACTCAATCACTCAAAAAAAAAAAGGGAAATGTGGGATAACCCCCTAATTTTGAAAACATATAGGGATAGGTCCTATGGATTTTTCTTTCCTAGTCAAAAACCCAAATTCTAATCTTAATTTGATAGACCCCCTAGATAAATCGAAATACCTGTTTTACCCTTTTAATAACAATTTAAAACCCTAAACCCTAGCTTTTTTTTCTTTCCCCCCAACAACTTCTACCAACCGTCCCCACCCCGCATTGTTGATGACGAGTTTCACCACGCTTTCGACCTTCTAGAATATTCCCACCCCCCACACTTTCCTCTCGACGAATTCGACGCAGTCGCCGATCTGATCCGGTTCGAGAAAACCCCATTCCGGACCTCGACCCGCCGGGTCAGACCCAGCGAGCTGTACCTGCAGGCGATCTCCGATCGCGTGTCCGAATTGGAGATCGGTTTCGAACGCCCACTGAAAGAGGAGAAGGCGAGGAACAAGAAGCAGAATGGCGAGCGGAAATACACGTGGACGGCGGAGATTGAGGAGCCGGATGAAGACCGGAAGTACAAATGGATGGCGGGGATTAAGAGCGGCGAGGATGGGAGTGACGTGTTGGAGAAGAGTTACAAATTTACGGCTCAGATCAAGGGAAAGGGCAAGGGCGGCGATTGCCACCGTCCGATCGAACGGAGTTACACGGTTAAGGTGTCGAGCGGCGGCAAATCGGAAAAGGAGACGAAGAAGAAGAAAGGTGATAAAGTGAAGGAGAAGGGTAAGCAGGTGGGCCCCACCGCCCACATTATTGAGATTTTTTTTTTTTTTTTTTTTTTTTTTGGCCAAAATATTTTTATTCCATTAAATACTTTTGAAAGTACAAGGGGGCCTCGTTAAAAACCTTGTGGGCCTACACAAGGAAAAGAGTACCCCTATAAATGGAAAGGAATAAAAACGGGACGGGGAAAGGCCTATACTATCTATTACAAAAATGCCCGAAAAAAAGGGCTAAAAAGAAAAAAGAAAAGACTACACTACAAAAAAGAATACATTCCTAGAATTGCTAAAAGGCCCCCAGATTGGGGTGAAAGTGTAAATACACTGAAAAGGTGCTCCAAAACAGTTACCTCTTGGCATCAGATCTAATAATTGCATCAAAGTCCTAGGATGGTGGCAATTATGCAAAATCCAGAAATAGGAACTCCAAAAAGTCCAAGCCTTACAGTAGTGCATCTTCATCCTGGACGGAAGGTATGTACACCCAACTTGTCTCCCAAATAAGCTGCCTTGACCTCAAAAGGTAATGAAGACCCGGAAAAATATTGTTGTGTTGATTTGTGAGTATACGCCCAGTTGGCAAGACGATCAGCCACTGTATTCTTCTGACGAACAACATGCTGAAAACTATGCGACGAAGCCACCTCCTGCATACACAGGCGAAGAACGAACTCAAGCTCCCATGCAACACTCTGAGTTCGGAGCCCTCTCGCCATGGTGGCGTTGTGCTGAGGCAGGTTAGTGTATCCTCTGTTTAATTGATTAATTAACTTAATTATTTTAATCGATTTCTGAATATTTTAATGGTGAAGAACAATATGAATTTGGATCTTCTTGTTATACTTCAAACTATTTGGTAAAACAGGTACTTCAATCTGTTTTTTATATTTCGTAGCGCAATATGCTTTGTACTCTTCCATTCACAACTTTCTATTCAGAATACTTTTATGGACATTAGTTTTAATCTTTTGGTTAATTCTTTGAACACTTGGCTTCTTTTTTATACATTTAAAATTGTCTGCTATTTTCTTGTTTTTCTTTTTAATAATATATAACGTATGCCTTGAGCAGTATTTGGCAGAGACAATCGAGAAAAGTAGAGGAAAGCAGAACGAAGCATAATTGATTACCTTAAACTGCAGGCACGGTAAGTAATAATTTTCATTTGCAACCGCATTGTTCTATTCACCATTTTATATAGATTCACTTGTGAACTTTTTTGGTGGTGTAGATGAATTATATATATATACATATATAGTCACATGTGGTCATGTATACGTAGTCATATATAGTCACATGTAGTAACAAGAATGAACACAACTACATGTGACTATAGTTGACTACATTTAGTCATATATCCTCATATGTAGTAATAAGAAGACATAACTACATGTGACTATAGTTCACCAAAGTAAATTTATCAATAAAGTGTTTTGCATTGTTTTTTTGTATTTTTCATGTAATGTAATTCGAATTTTGTAGGTATTTTTTGAGTTCACCAAAGTATTTTTTGTACAACCATCATCGAATTTTGCAGTTATTTTTTGAGTTTTGGTTTTAATTTTTTTTCGTTTTTTTTTTTTGTGTGAAGCTGTGAGTTTAATTTTAGGAGTCGACTTGTACATAAAACGCGATTGTTGTGGCAAGAAATATAATAAAAAAAACTCGAAACTTGTTCCTGGTGGTGGTGCGACAAAACTGACTGTGCATCCATTGAAGGCATAGAAAAGGTAATGAATTTTAATGTGCTTCTTAATATATTGAATCACTGTTTATTGGTCCTCAAATGATTTGTTTACTTCATTTTATACTTGGGAGTATATGTAGATTCGTGATGAGAATATTTTGTTGGTAATATGATATTGATATTTTATTTATCGAGAATGAAATAGGTGACTACTTTACGTGTGTTTCAACTATTATTTTATCTATGGTGTTCCACTTCAACTTGCTTTGATCTTTGACCTTTGGTTATACGAAGAATAATGACTAGCATACTCTGTTTGTAATTTGATTTTGATAATATAAGCTGTCTCGTATCGCCTGGAGAACAAAGTCAGGTACTTGAAGGGACAAATAAAGTCACATACATGTATATAGTCACATGTGGTCATATACATGTAGTCATATATAGTCATGTGTAGTAACATATGGTAATATATGGTGTAGTCACATATAGTAATACATAGTCACGTGTAGTAACATACAGTAATATATGTTGTAGTCACATGTAGTAATATATAAACTATGCAGTCATGTAGTCATATGTAGTCATGTATGAGTTATGTGGGGAGTATCTATGTATACCAGTAGGTGATAGTGCGTGTGTGCACATTTAAATTTGAAGCAAAATTCGTTGTTTGTTTGACTCTTTTTCTTTTTCACAGGTCTTGGTGTTTGAACTACTATGTAGTAAGTATTTTCACAGGTCTTGGTGTTTGAACTACTTAAACTACTATGTAGTAAGTTTTTGCGGAGTGGATTGTGTTCGTTGTTCAAAACAAGAGGTTCTCGTGCTGACAAGTGCGATTTGAGTCAAATTTAGTCGTATAGATAACTGTAGTCATGTATAGTTCCATGTAGTTATATATATTTATCTACAAGCTATGTGGTTTTTCTGATGTATAGTGATCTTGATGATTGTGTATTTTTTGCACTTTTTTGTTAGGCATTTAATTATTTATAATATCAAGAATCAAATTTTGAATTCTTTTATTGGTATAGATGATTTTTTATATATATAATCAACGATCGACCATAACTTTGGGGTAAAAAATAGTACATGGCTACATATAACTATACATGACTGTGGTATCCTATAGTCATGTGTACTCAATTTCAGTACAGTAAATTAAAAATTAAGAAAAAATTAAAAAAATTAAAAATTAAAAATTAAAAAAAATTAAAAAAAATTAAAAAAAAAAATAAAAAATTAAAAAAAAAATTTTAAAAAATAAAAAATAAAGAATAAAAAATAATTAAAAAATTAAAAAAATAAAAAAAATTTAAAGAAATTAAAAAAATACAAAAAGAGGGTACGTATAAAAAAATAATAATAAAATAAAAATTTATAATTTTTTATTAAAAAATCTGAAAAAATGATAAATGCAGGTCTAAAAGTGGGGAGTGCAGTTAGCTATAATGTTGAATGCAGTTGGAAAAGCTGAATGCAGTTGGTTAAAATTTACAAATAAGGGCATAATAGTACTTTTGCCTCTCTAGGGGTGTATCTCAAAGAAAGAATTTTAGGGATGGACTTATCCCTACATATTTTCCATTCTAGGGGTGTATATCAAATGGCCCCAAAAAAAAAATGTACACATGACACACATATTATATTACACAATCATATCCACGAAAATATATTAATCACTCAATATTTTTATCAATTCCAACCACAAAACCAAAACATGTCACAAAATTAACATGCGCCGTTAGTTAACTAGTGGAGGGTTCAAGTAGCTGCCCAATGAAGAGAACCATCCCACTCATATCTTCTCTTATAACAAACATGAAAGGATGATCAGCCACAAAATCAAATTTCGTCTCAATTCTCAAACATTGAAGTTGAAATACACCAACAGAAACCGTTGCAGCCTCCGTGCCTTCCTCGTTCACTTCAACGAACGCCTTGTGGAAAATTTCCGAGACGAACAATTTCTCCGTCGGGGTAGTTATAGTTGAGAACACCATTTCAGTGAGATCACCACAAGAAAAAGGAAGCACCATTCCGAGCTCCCTCAGAACTTCTCCCGCTCGAAATTCGAATTCTATCTTAAATTTTGGAATTCAGAAATGACCAACTTCGACGTCCCAGAGAGGGAGGTGTTTCTCGATAAATCCAGATTCAGAGCCGGCTTTTTCTATCAAGGATGGTAGTCCATCTTTTGCATCCGGAAGAAATATATACATTGAGAATTTGCGTTTATCTTCACCTTGTTTATACGGCCTTAAAACCTTAAAACCCTCAAAATAACGGATATATTGCCTCTCCCAACTTGTCATGAAAGGTACTTTAATTGAGCTTCCGTTTAAGAGAAAAAACTCATCGTCTTTAGTTACCGACGAATCAAATTGTTCCTCCCACATTCCTTTAAAATACACTGCATTAGCGAGGATAAGCCTAGTGCTAGCATCAACTGAATCAGGTGGCAGTATTTCTTCGATGAGCCCATTTGTTTTGTTCTCAACCCATTTATTCACTTCTTCTATTACCTCAGCAGCCTTAAAAAATCATCAAGATAAGAAATACAATAATTAAAATAAAACTGCAACACACGTAAACATTTGAAAAGCTATACTTACGGTTATCAATTTTGTCAATGAAAGGCCCTTTACAAATCCACAGTTGATTTTTACATATCCCAGCTGTAATAGATTTACACCCCTAAACTATGTGGTCGTACAAAATACCCTTGCACTACAAAATGTGACAAAGTTGTCATTCTGTTACAATTTACAATCTATTAGTGGATGATGATGTGGGATATTGGGATTCTCATTTATATGATTTGTTCAAAGTTTCACTTTTTCGGACATTTTTACCCCTGATATGCCTAATTGGGCCTACCCAATGGGCCTACAATTTCCTTACATACTGGACCACGAGCCCAATACCGAAGACCATTATCACTGTGGCCAAATAACCTTCAAGTAAGGTTTGGGCCCGAAAATCTCAACTAAGCTATAAATAAAGGTTTGAACTCATTCCTTAAGGTACGTCCTATTATCTGAGCAATACTATTAAATGTATTCTCTGGACTATTTCTACTATCAGCACGTCTGACTTGAGCGTCGGAGGGGTTTCCGCCGGATCAACCCCCGGCCTAGTTCACGTGTTCTATGATCGCAGGCATCTCAAGGTCATCAAGCTCGTGAGCCAGTGATCCACTCTGCTCTTCCAGCTCATCCTACTTCAACACTCTAAGGTGATCTAACTTTAGCATCATTATTTTCGCGCCGTCTGTGGGAAGGCAAACACAATCACGTAGCGCACATGATGGCCTTGAGACATCTGCTCAGGGGAGTGTGACACTGCTAACAACCTCCCACCTCGTGGAGGCTCTGGCTTGTCAAATCCTCCTCCCCATGCTCGGGATCCACTACGAGGCCTTCCTCAGATGTCCCACTAGATCCTCAACAGGATTCACTTCTTCCCGCCCCTCGATCGGTTCAGACAACCGAGGAGGCCCTTCAACACTAGGATGGGTTATCGACTCCCTGGGGGTTTACATCTGTTGAAATAATAAACTAAATTAAGTGTATTAAGGAATATTCTAGAAGGTTAATTCATGTATTAGCTTATTCATGTATTTGGTTTTAATTAAAGTTCATGTACTAGTTAGAGGGGAAGAATTAAATTAAATGGTGATACATGTACTAGACTAGATTCATGTTGGGAAAATCCTATAAATACCACATGAACTCTAGCCATTTGTAACAAGTCAAGTTTTCAAGTTTAATAGAATTCTCCTATTATCCTCCACTTCTTGTGTGTGTGTGTGTTGAGTGAGTGTGCTCTCCATTTTCCAACAAAGTGGTATCAAGAGCCAACTTGTGTTTGGAGAGACGTAAGTTTGAAGAATATAATGTCGAACGGAATTCCATTTCAAGTTCCAAAACTCACAAAAGAAAATTATGGAACTTGGTGCATCCGAATGAAGGCGTTCCTTGGAGCTTATGATGCTTGGGAACCTGTTGAGAACGGAGTTGAGGGTGAAGATGCTGCCTCTGTAAAGAAGGATCAAAAGGCCCTTAGAGTCATTCATCAAGGCCTAGATGAGGTGATGTTCGAGAAGGTTGCTAGCACAACTACCTCCAAGCAAGCATGGGATATTCTTCAAACTTCTTTTAAAGGAGTTGATAAAGTAAAGAGAGTTCGTCTCCAAACACTAAGAGGAGAGTTCAAGTCGCTGAAAATGAAGGAATCCGAATCAATCTCGGATTACATGTCAAGAGTTTTGGCCAATGTTAATGAAATGAAGAGGTATGGAGATGACATCACGGATGAACGGGTCGTTGGAAAGATTCTACGATCCTTAACTCCAAAGTTCAATTACGTGGTCGTGGCCATCGAAGAGTCCAAGGATTTGGACACCATGACTGTTGACGAGCTTGCCGGATCGCTGCAAGCCCATGAAGAAAGAGTGAAGCCAAGACAAGAATTGGTGGAGCATGCTTTTCAAGCAAAGCTCTCTTTCAAAGAAAAAAGATGAAAGGCGTACTACGTTCCATAGAGGCCGAGGACGTGGACGAGGTCGTGGAAGAGGAAGAGGCGGCTACCAATCCACACATAAAGAAGAGATAGGACAAACATCATATCAAGGAAGGGAGCGTGGCCGTGGACGAGATAGAGGAGGAGTCTCGAGGCCAAACCAAAGAAGATATGACAAGTCTAAAATTGAATGCTATTCTTGTCATAACTTGGGCCACTTTGCATGGGAGTGTCGAAATAATTTGGAGGAGAAAAATAACTTTGCGGAGAACGACAATGAAGAAGTAGATCCCACCTTACTTATCACGTGCAAAAGAGACGTGGACGAAGATATCAATCAGTGGTATCTTGATTCCGGTGCAAGTAACCATATTTGTGGAAATAAAGATTTTTTCTTTGAGCTTGATGATTCTATTGGAGGCAATATCACTTTTGGAGACTCGTCAAAAGTGCAAATCAAAGGAAAAGGTACGATTTTGATTCGTTTGAAGGATGGAAGCCATCAATTTATTTCCAGTGTCTTTTATGTTCCGGAAATGAAGAACAACATCTTGAGCTTGGGACAACTTTTGGAGAAAAAATATGATATTCAACTCAAAGATAGGTGCTTTTCCATTAAAGATGAAAATGGAAAGTTGCTCACAAAGGTGCCGATGATGAAGAATATAATGTTTTTATTAAACATTCAAAATGATGTTCCAAGATGCTTGAAAGCTTGCGTTCAAAATCCGTCGTGGCTATGGCACATGAGGCTTGGACACTTAAATTTTGAAGGCCTAAGATTGATGAGCATGAAACGTATGGTGAACGGCTTGCCAATTATTGATCTTCCAAATCATCTTTGTGAAGGATGTTTCTTTGGAAAGCAACCTCGAAAAAGCTTTCCAAAGGAGTCCTTGACAAGAGCTCAATATCCATTGGAGTTGGTTCACTCAGACGTTTGCGGACCTATCAAGCCATCATCAGTTGGGAATAATAATTATTTCTTATTATTCATTGATGAATTTTCTCGAAAGACTTGGGTGTATTTCTTGAAAGAAAAATCCGAGGTATTTTAAACTTTCAAGATGTTTAAGAGCTTGGTGGAAAAACAAAGTGGCTACCAAATCAAAGCGCTTCGAACCGATAGAAGAGGAGAATTCACTTCAAATGAATTCATGGATTTATGTGGAGTAAAAGGCATACATCGTCCTATGACGGTTCCAAGATCACCACAGCAAAATGGCGTGGTTGAACGAAAGAACCGAACAATTCTCAATATGGCAAGGAGCATGTTGAAAAGTAAAAATATGCCGAATGAACTATCGGCGGAAGCAGTGGCATGTGTTGTCTACTTATCCAATCGGTGTCATACTAAAAGTGTTCATAGAAAAACACCTCAAGAAGCATGGAATGGATTCAAGCCAAGTGTTTCACACTTGCGAGTTTTCGGCAGTATAGCCTATGCACATGTACCGGATCAAAAGAGGACTAAGTTGGATGACAAAAGTGAAAGGTACGTGTTTATCGGCTATGATCAAAATTCAAAAGGGTATAAATTGTACAATCCAAGCAATGGAAAAATTATTCTCAGTCGAGATGTGGAGTTTGATGAACAAAGCAATTGGGAATGGGATAATTCAAAAGAGGAGTACAATTTTTATCCATTATTTGATCAAAATGATGGTGATTTACATCCTACTAGTCCACCTCCAACACCTCCACCACAAAGTCCGGCAATTGGAGAGGCAAGTTCTAGCGAAGGACCTCGGAGAACTAGAAGTCTAAGAGACTTGTATGATGCAACCGAAGAGGTAACACAAGATTTTGGTAATTTAAACCAATTTTGTTTCTTTGGTGATTGTGAACCTCTAGGTTATGAAGAAGCCGCATGTGATAAGAAATGGAGAGAGGCCATGGATGAAGAAATCAAGGCAATCAAGAAAAATGAAACATGGGAGTTGGCAAAACTACCAAACGGGAAAAGCACCATTGGAGTCAAATGGGTGTACAAAATAAAAAGAAACTCCAAAGGCGAGGTGGAGAGATATAAAGCAAGATTGGTGGCAAAAGGCTACAAACAAAAGGCCGGCGTTGACTATGGTAAGGTTTTTGCTCCCGTTGCTCGTTTGGAAACTATTCGCTTAATGATTTCTTTGGCAGCCCAAAATCAATGGCAAATCCATCAAATGGACGTGAAGTCCGCTTTCATGAATGGTATTTTGGAAGAGGAAGTCTACATTGATCAACCTTTGGGTTATGAGGTTAAAGGGGAAGAAGACAAGGTCTTGAAATTGAAGAAAGCTCTTTATGGCTTAAAGCAAGCACCTCGTGCATGGAATAGTCGAATCGATCAATAATTTCAAGCAAATAATTTTTAAAAATGTCCACACGAACATGCACTTTATGTGAAGAAATCTAAAAGTGGTGACATTTTGCTTGTTTGTTTGTACGTGGATGACTTGATTTTTACAGGAAATAATCCAAAGATGTTCGAGGAATTCAAGATGGCTATGGCTAAAGAGTTCGAGATGACAGATATTGGCTTAATGTCCTACTACCTTGGCATTGAGGTGAAACAAGGAAGTGACGGTATCTTTATTTCTCAAGAAAGATACGCCAAGGAAATTCTCAAAAAGTTTGATATAGAGAATTGCAAGCCGGTTAGCACTCCGGTGGAATGTGGAGTCAAGCTATCAAGACAAGCAAATGGTGAGAAAGTCAATCCTACAAACTTCAAAATTCTAATTGGGAGTTTAAGGTATTTGACTTGTACACGACCGGATATTCTATTTGCCGTTGGGTTAGTTAGTCGTTTTATGGAAGTTCCTACTACTTCTCATTTGAAGGTGGCAAAGAGATTACTTTGGTACATCAAAGGTACACTTGATTATGGGATTTTATATCCTCATTCTCAAAATTTTGAACTTGTTGGTTATTGTGATAGTGATTGGGCCGGTGACATTGATGATCGCAAAAGTACTACCGGGTTTGTATTCTTTATGGGAAATTCATGTTTTACTTGGAGTTCAAAAAAGCAACCCATTGTTACTCTTTCTACTTGTGAAGCGGAATTTGTAGCAGCAACTTCTTGTGTTTGCCATGCGATTTGGCTTAGGAGTTTGATGGAAGAATTTCATGAACCACAAGAAGACCCGACGGAGATTTTTGTTGACAACAAATCAGCACTTGCATTGTCGAAGAATCCGGTGTTTCACGAAAGGAGCAAACATATTCATACAAAATATCACTTCATTCGAGAAAGTGTTTCTAAGAAAGAAGTGGTACTTGAGTTTGTGAAGTCTCAAGATCAAGTTGCCGACATATTCACCAAACCGTTGAAGAGCGACGTGTTTCAAAGATTGCGAATGTCTCTTGGTGTGATGAATCTAGTTTAAGGGGGAGTGTTGAAATAATAAACTAGATTAAGTGTATTAAGGAATATCCTAGAAGGTTAATTCATGTATTAGCTTATTCATGTATTTGGTTTTAATTAAAGTTCATGTACTAGTTAGAGGGGAAGAATTAAATTAAATGGTGATACATGTACTAGACTAGATTCATGTTGGGAAAATCCTATAAATACCACATGAGCTCTAGCCATTTGTAACAAGTCAAGTTTTCAAGTTTAATATAATTCTCCTATTCTCCTCCACTTCTTGTGTGTGTGTGTGTGAGTGTTGAGTGAGTGTGCTCTCCATTTTCCAACAACATCTGCCCCCAAAATATTTCGTTCGCCAAGGGTTATCGACTCCCTGGGGGTTTATAGAGCCCCCAAAATATTTCGTTCGCCAAGGGTTATCGACTCCCTGGGGGCTTACATCTGCCCCCAAAATATTTCGTTCGCCAAGGGTTATCGACTCCCTAGGGGTTTACAGTGCCCCTAAAACATTTCGTTCGCCATGGGTCATCGACTCTCTGGGGGCCTACTTCCGCCCCCCTCGAACGGTTCGGATAACCGAAGAGGACCTTCAGCGTATGATCACCGAACATTCAACAAGATCAACTTCTACTTGCTCCTCTAACAGTTCAGATAACCGATAAGGACCTTCAGCGTACGACCGCGAAAGTTTCAACTCGTGTTGCCACTGAAGCAATGGCACAACTGTGCGCATCCACCCTAGACCATAGGTCTCGAGCGCCTCATCCTAGAGTGGGGGGCTATCCCATCCCAAGGTTGGCATCACCCTTACCTTTCAACCCCAAGTGGGTACACATCCCATCTCAAGAAACGAGTATAATCTCCCTACTCAAAAAATAGAACATCCCCAAAGGGGTGAACATCAACCACGTCAAAATAAAAAAAAAAACAAGGAGAAGAAAGAAGAAGAAGAAAGAAGAAGAAAAAAAAAGAAGATGAAGAATAAAGAAAAGAAGAGGTGCGCGTGCACAGCACGCGCGCGCGTCAACCACACAAAAAAAAAAAAAAGGGGGTCAAATCGCGCGCGCGAGACCCAGGAACAAGAAGAAGAAAAAAGAGAGTAAAAGAAGAAGAATTAGAAGAAGAAAGAAAGAAGGAAGAAGAAGAAGAAGAAGAAAAAAAATTCGAAAAGTAAGCCAAGCCGAGCCGCGCCATCACCCAAGCCGCGCGCAACCTTCTCCTCGGGGCGCGCGCGCGTTAGAAGAAGAAAAAAACAAAAAAAACAAAAACAAAAAAAAGGGCGCGCGTGCACAGCACGCGCGCGTCAGGAGAAGAAGAAAAAAAAATTAATATATTGAGAAGTGTGTGTGAGCACGCGCCTGGGACATTTTCAGCAGCCCTGCACGCGTGCCTTCCCCATGCACGCGCACACGCCTTCCCATGCACGCGCGCACCTTCCCAAGGCCGCCTCGGAGGGCGCGCTCACCTCATATCGCGTGTAACTTTTACTGCTCTCCACCAAATTCCGCGTAGATTTTGACGCGCTTCACCAAATCGCGCGAGAATTTCAACGCGCTCCACCAAATTGCGCGAGCTCTCCAACGCGCCCCACGAAATCGTGTACACTCTCAAACGGATAAATAAAAATTATTATTTCTTCA